GGGGGGGGGGGATGTGTCGTCTATCTGGCTGTGAATAGCATGCGCCTCGTTTGGTAGCAATTCTCTCTGTGTGTGTGTGTGTGTGTGTGACAAAACGGCGATAACCGGCTGTCTTCCCTTTGTAATCCTCTTATCAAAACGGTTTCGCAAATGCCTCAATCTGTTACGACGGCTCGTACATCGGCGTCGCCGGCGACGGCGGTGGTGGTGGTGTGCGGGGCGCGGTGGGAGCTGGCGCCTTACCCCACCGCGCCTACCCCACCTCGGCCAGCCCCCCGTGCCGCCCCGCCTCACTACCCCACCGCCGCCGGCGCCTCTGAGCCGTGACCCCCAGCGGCGGCTCTGGGGCTGGCTCTGCTCCCCGAGGACACAAACTACTCCCCCACCCCCTAGGCAGTCACGGGAGGAGGGAGGAGGTTGTAGTGGTTGCGGTGCTGGCCGGAGCGGGAGGGGAGCGGAGGAACAATTGTGGAAGTGAAACGACTTGCCCTTTCGTTGGCGCATCGGCCACTGCTGCTCCGCATAGTGCTCGTCCCTGGCTTGACCACCGGGGACCAATGAATGAATTAAATGCACAAATTGTGGAAAGATCATTCTTAGAAATTCGAATAAAATATTAACACTTTAAAAAAACTGTGTTAAGATCGTCCTTTTTTTGTTAATTTTGTTTTTGAAATTATTGGTACGAGTGCAGCTCTCTATCCAGTCTAAAGATCTCGCAGAACCTTGTCTCAGGGCGAAAAAGAGGACCACACTGTTATCTGAAGTCTACAACCGGCAAGCACATAGTGCGGCCGGCTGGAAAAACAAGAGTGTTCAGTCGTACCTTTATAATGTTTGAAGGGTTTATGTCTTTAGATCTTTCAATGTCTTTAGCGCCCCAGGAAAGGTGCTCTTAACACGTTTGATTTCAACAGTGTCGAGCTAAGATGCAAACTCGAGTTCATGGAAGTGTTCAACTTTTCGGTTCAATGCTTGTGCAAGTTCCTGTTTCGGTGAAAACGGGTTGCCATCGCAGCAGTATATGCGCTCGTGCGACCTCTACCCATGCCGAGCCCGGCCGCTCAGGGTTTAATCCTCCTAGGTGTGCGTTATAAGTGTGCCATATGGGCAGCGCTGCGCTAATACCTCCCTCCACTCCCCCTTCCTCTACGTCTCTCTCGTCTCAAGCCCTTTGGCTTCATTCAGCACGCTGGGAGGGTCTCGCTATGGGCGGTCAGAGAGGCTTTGGGGATGAAGATGAAAGCATCGTCTCTCTCTCTCTCTCTCTCTCTCTCTCTCTCTCTTCCCCCCTCCTCCCTCCCCTTTCTCCCTTCGAATTCCCTCTCCTTCCTCCCTTACCCCCTTTCTCTTAGTCCCCATTCCTGATGATCGCTAATTGGAAGAGAAAAAGGACCTGGCGATGAAAAAGTATTTCATTTTGGCTGACTGTTTTCTTGTTTGTTCGCAGCCTGCAGGCTGTCTGCCCGCTGGCGCTGGCGCTAGCCGCCCCTATGCGCGCCTTGGAGCTGCGGAGGGCCTAGACATGGGGTCGCGCGCCGTCTGCGGCGCCCTGCTCGTCGTCTGCTGCGTCGTCTGCCTCGTCGGGGGAGCGCCTCAGGATGGCAAATCTAAAGGTGAGTGAGAAGCTACATTGCAAAATAAAAAAATAATTTACGATTTTGCTAACCCCATTCTCCTCAACCCGTTGGGTTTTCAAAAACCGATTCCTATTTAGAACTTAGTTTTTAAGTATCTTGAAAAAATTTATGTTATGTGGAAAATGCTTACCCACTTAGGGGGGAGCTGGCTGACGGGCTGGGTATTAGTCTGACCAAGCCACAACTTTAAAAATAAATTTCCTATGTGCATGCCTTTTTGACGATTTCTAACCGACTGGGCTATAGGAAAACCCCCCACCCCATACATCTTGAAACTTTTCTACCGATGGGTTTGCAATTCTCAAGAAGACAATAAGCAGGAATCGAGCGTTTCACCGCCCAAAACTGGGATGCTCTCGGGAGGGCGACTGGAGGGGGCTGCTCATTAAATCGACATTTGCGCGTCGACACATTTCTCATCAGAAGCGAGCCGTCCTGGACACGAGAGGGCGGCGCGACGCGTGCTGCGCGGGCGGGGCTGGCCTCGCCTCACTTCTAATGATTTTTAACGTTCCGCACTGCGACGCAACGTCGCCGAGAAGCACCCCGACTTTTTCCATCACTTTTTACGCGATTTGGCGCGCGAGGATGGGGAGGGGCGAGGGAGGGGCGGGGACGCGGCCGCCCATGGCCTGCCGCACTGTTTGCTTGTTTGGGCGCCATCTGCTGCCGCGGCCCAGCGCATCGCCGCTCCCCGCCACGCCCCAACTCTCGATTTCCCTCCTGATTTGCCAAAAATCGTGCGTGTCTGCGCTCCATCTGTGAAGTCCTCCGAGGCGCCCCCTCTCCCTCCCTCCCGCCCCCTTGATCTGACGTGTCAATTATGTCAGAGAACGCTGCCACATGCGGGCGGCTGCTCGCCCTCCTGCTGCATTGCCCGACCATAGGCGGGTGGCCTACGAAGCAACCGCGTCCAGTTAAAGTTTCGGTTGCTACTGCTGCATTTGTCCTGCGAGGAGAATAGTGCAACGGAACGGAACCCAGCATCTCGTCGACAGTCGACACGCGGGGACAATAGCTGATCACCTCTGGGAAACGAATTGAAAACCACTTAACCTCTGAATAGGAAACCAATCACGCCAAGTGGCTCCAATGCCCTTTTCACATTTTTGCGGTGCTATGGTCTCAAAATAATCTACCGGAGACGCTGATTCCAATGATGTTTAAAGTGTGAGAAAAGTCATTGATGCGATGTTCGAAACAAACGGGACGTTAGAGTTAGATGGTTTTGTATTTGGTCCTTGGATGTAAGTTGTTGTCATTCTCGTGTGACGTCCAGCTGCCACATGTTGGGGGTTGCGCCAACTGCCAACCGATTGGTGAGCGTTCAAAACTAAGCATTCCGTTCATGTTGATGCCGGTCGAGGTAACTACAGCTCCCATTACTTGGTCTGGCAGCTTGTTGGCTGGTCGGTCTCGGGCTGCAAAGCTATGTGGAGTACATGGAACTTTGTACTGCAATGTTTTTCTATTCGAACCGCTGCAAGGGATGATGAGAAATGTAGCTCTCCTCGTGTGTCACAGCAGAAACAGAGACCTGACGGCCGTGAGGGAGAGAGACAGAGAGTGCGGCTATTCTCGAAGGGCTCGCGTGTCGTGCGATGGGGGGTGACATAGTGATTGCTTCTAATCGATTCTGTGTGTGTGTGTGTGTGTGCTTGTGTGTGCGTGAGCGTGCGTGCGTGGTGGGTGGAGACCTCTAGTATTTCCCTCGCACGGAACAACAGAGTCGCCCTCGCCCGCTGCGACACACAGCACTACTGCTCCCCCCCCC